CAGACAGACACATTACACTTGCTTTTATTATTATAGATTTATGTTAAAAATCAGGAGATATGAATTTTTTTCAAATAACTTTTGACTTCTCTAACAATAAAATTATATTCAACTAGTTGATTATTTAAATCAATGAGGTCATTATTTGGATTAGTTACCCACATATGAGTACTACTAAGTTCAACTAATTAAACGGGAAAAAACATTGGTTTTTCAAATGATTTTGAAATCATACTATTTAGTGGATGTAGGTTATTAAATGAATGAATAATTTTAGTGGATTTTCTCATTTATGTAAGCTTTTTTTACTATATTACAATTAATAATATTATAATTTCTATTGGATATATCAGCAATATTTTCACCTTCTATCTTAGACGAGAGACTGATATCCTCAGTTTTGCTGTCATCTAGAGCCTTATATGTTCTTCCTCCCTCTGAAATCCTATAATTTTATGAAATTCACCATTTTTAAAATTAATATCCCATCTATTAGATAATTTTATAAATATTCTTTGTCTTGCTTTAACAATATCAAATTTGATTGGAGGATCATTTCTTAATAATTTGTTTTTCAAATATTTATTTAAATCTGTAATTGTATAATTTCCATCATGTATAGTTATTTCTGTAGAACGTAATGCAGATTCTATGGTAAATTTGTTATTATTATAATTTTTACTTATATTAAATCAATATTTTAATTGATTTAATAAATCAATAAATTTTCTCACACATCTGGTTAATTTGGGTTCAAATGTTAGCAAGCAGGCTCGCTATATAAAAGTTTTCATGTTTTTTATTTATTTTTTTATTTTTATGTGTAATCTGTATATAAACCAGTTTCCCTTAAAATAGGGTTTCTCAACCAGGGAAGGATTTCAAAGTTTCAGGAGCATGTGGCTAGTCTTTTACTTAGCTGTTTAGTATTTAGGATTAATGAATATAACAACTACTTTTATTCACATTTTGGTATTTATCAACACTTTTTGTGTTAATGATGATTATCTCTCATTGCGATAAAACAATAATTTTTATAACATCATTGAAGCTGAGCTGTTTTACAAAATAACTCTTCAAACCAAACATTAAAATTTGCAAAAAATGCAATAATAATAAGTTCCCAAAATCATAGTTCATGGAATCATAATTCTTGCAAAATCTGGTGTGAATGGAGATCTCTTAGGTATCTGGGGAGAAGCCAAAATGTTTAGAAATGTCAAAAATCTGCCTACTTCCTGTAAAGCTAACAGTAACAAACAGAGTTGGAACTGTTTGGAAAGCTATAAAAATGGAATAAAAACTCTTTGGCCAAAAACAAAAAAATAGCTCCTCTATTTTTGATTGACATGTGTATGGGACATGTAAATGTTGAAGTCTTATTTTGAATTGTTTTTATGCTCTTGAGGTTAACTTTTGTTCTGTAGCAAAAGAGTTATGAGCTTGATGTGTCATAAAAAACAGCTGATATATATTTTGGAGGTAAGCTCCATTTTGATTCATCATTGCAACACTGATGCTTGGAGAGTTTTAGTGTCTGGTTATAGAATCTTTCATTCCAAATTATTTTTGGTATGTTCTTCCAACAAAGCTGTTAAAGAAGATCATAAAAATGAAGATTGACACATCACAAATTGGCTTGAGGAAAGTGTTTCAGTAAATGTTAGGTTTACAGATCTGCTTCAAAGCAGCGGTAGATTAGTTTTTGTCAGCAATATTTCTTAGCAATTTGTCAAGTGGATGGAAATAAGCAAATATAAATAAAAATTAAGTAGTCATTTATTCAGGAGCTTTCATAAACAGTGAAACAAATTTAATTACAATTCATGTAATTTTTCCGTGAAAAAAATATATATTTAAAAATTAACTTTTTAGCATATTTCAATTCTATCTTTGATTCAATGTCCTTGAATTAACAATAGTATTTTAAACTTATTTATATTGTATTTATTTATCTTTTGATGTGATACTCATATATTATTAAAATTTCATATCTTATAAATACATCTTAATTTATTTGAATATACGATATGCATATTAATTTTTATGTATGCCATTAACTTTAAATGCTTTCAATGTTTAACTGTGAAAGGTTTTGAGGTCACATATATATGTGTGATATTTTAATGCATAGTTGTCATGGCTGAGGGTGAAGGCATACAGACGAACCTAACCAAACTGAATTTTGTGAATCACCAGCTTTGTTTTTTCATATGTCAAATTATTTCTGTGGCAGACAAATTACTTTTCAGTCATAGTTGAATACAATAATTTTTATGTACACTGGTTTTTAAAGGTATGGCATAAGTATTCAATTTAATATTTAGTTACGGAAAGGAATGACATAATTGCTTGTGAAGCAATATTTATACTACACCGGTGCATAAGTACAGCAAAGCTGTCATTGGTTAATTTTAGATTTTAGTTCCCTTTTTCAAGCAGCATTATGTAACATGGAAAGATCTTGAACTTGGGAGAACAGATGAACTTAGGGAAAGAACATAAAATCTAGAATAGTCGATTTTGAGGTTGCGAATCATTTCTTAGTGTAGCCATTGCATTTTATTATATCTTACATATTATCTTACTTATATATTTTTGTTAAAGATATTCCAGTCTCTTCTGATGACCATCATATGAAGATAATGCATTTAGTTCAGAATCATCTGCAACAAGATTTATTGGAATGTGCTTTGAATGCTTGGGATGATCATGAAATCTTCTATTTGACTAGTGGTATTTCAGTTACTTTTGATATTAAATTTATAAATTTATAAATTTAAAATTCTATATGGCAGTTTCTGAAATATTTTTAGTGTTTAGATTTTGAGATTCATTATTTGATTATTTGATATGTCTTTCACCCTTTAATTTTGGAAATCTGAAAGAATTGCTTCATGTAAATTAAAGATATTATGTGTTTTTCTTTTCTTTCTTCTTTTAAATCCTATTGTAATTTAAAAACAGCTTCACAGCAATCTTATACTTTTGTAAAATGAGAAAAAGTATATTAAGTTTAGCAGTGGTTGCAGTTAATCAGGATACTTGGAAATCTTTTCTATCATGAAATATTCTTGGCTTCATGCTTTATATTTATTAAAGTGTGATGCAGTAGGTGATTGATATAATTGTGATTGATGTTATCATTCAAATATTATTTAATTAACAAAGTCCCACCCATTTGTATATGATAACATGGAAAATACATAGCTTATTGTGATCAACGAATAAGTTAATGTGATGAAAATGTTAAAAGAATGAATTTCTAAAACAAAGTAAAGTCACCAAATAAAAGATAAGATTTCTAAATGAAGCTAAAACAGATCATAGAAATGGGCAAACGACAGAGAAATGTCACCATGTAAAAGATTAAACCACCAAACACCTTTTTTTTTTTTTTTAAATTTAAATCAACAGTGTTCAAAGAATCCATTTTCCAAGTTTTTGGAAGATCAACTGGACTAACTAAGTTAATGAAATTTAATTATAGGTGAACTGAGGCCCATCAACGCAGAATGGTAAAGTCACTGAATCCTGCCGAATGGGGTTGCTGCATGGGCATTTTTCTGGTTTTCCCCATGTGTAACGTAAATATGTTCCAGTTTTCCTGAGCTAGTTCTCTGCAAAGGCATCCCTCCCCTTAGGCAGATAGCCCTTGTGCTTTGCCATAATTAAATAAACCAAACCTGTAGATGAACTTGATTTTTCTGTTTCAAAAATGTTTTTTTCTGTGTTCTCTGCTTTAGATCTTTATAAATGTTCTATTTTAGAAAGTGCCCATTTTTTAAATCTGTTGAAAATCCTGTGCTATTTTTATTCTGGAGATAAGTAAAAAAAATAATGATTTGAGTCTAAATGATAAAAATGATTTGTTAGACTAGTATGAGCAACTCCCAAAAATGATCGATTTGAGGGCTGCTCTTAAATGAAAATTTTCTCAAACCTTCTTGTGTGAGATTTTAAAGAATCATGAAGATATTTGCAAATTAAAACAAAATTGAAATGTAAGTATGGATGACGGCAATATCACACCAACACAATGTTGTGAAAACATTAAAGGTTTGATTTACACTTGTTTGTGAAACAAATACTGAGGTCAATGGCATACTGCTGTGACAGAAAGTATTGTTATGAATAGTATATCAATGAACTTTTGCATAGCAGCTTCCGACAATCCACTATTAATAATTTTTTTCTTGATCGAAATATTTTGAAAGTATTTATATGTTTCTAATTAGATTAAATTAGGTTAATTCATTGGTGTTTTGATGAAGACCTTTTTCTCATTATTTAATGTTATTATTCTGTTGATGTTATCAAAATAGTCATGGACAAATGTGACCACCTTAAGTAGGGCCTACTGTACAGAGAAATAAACAGTGTCTACTGTAATCTTTATTATTTTGATTTTCAAACTGCACAGCTCAGTGAATGTCTACCATTAAATGAAGCACTTATTGAATCCTTTCATAGTTTTATAAATTTTGATGAATTATTTGTATATTTTAAATTATTATTATAATACAAGAGAGATATTTCTGATGCAAATTTTATAGTTGTGTATTCTTATTTTGTACACACAGCTGTAAAATTTATTGATCAGCTTTTAATATGTAGTATTCTTGAGCTTGTAAAACTTGTATGGCTTTTGTTTTTACTTGTAGATATGATTAAAAATTAAATGGTTTAAATTTTTCTGATACTTCACATTTATTTTATATGCAATGTTTCATTGTATATACAGTATTGTCTTCCATACTGAATTATTAATTATGTTTAACACATTTGCTGTCAAAAATGTAATAATTTTATGTAAAATGCAGGTCCACCATACTGAATCAATAAATTAATGAATTCCTAATAGCATGTAGTCAACTGATCTGTTTACCTTTTTAAAAACGCTAATTTGGAATACTTTATAGTCAGATAGAGCTGTTTCTTGAATTTACTATGAAGAATTAGGTGGTTATCCTGCTAATTAATTTAGTTTATTACTTTCGCAAAAAATTCTTTTTTTTTTTTCCTAAACTCGAGAATTGTGTGGCTTGCCTTGTACAAAATTTTAATTTTTTTATATCAACGAATGGTTATGCCCAATAATTACATATTTTAATGAAGATGACTCTTTAAATGGTTTACATATACATCATTTGAGTTAACCAATGAGGTGCATATATGAAGCTAATTTTTTTAATTTGTAGGTATTAATGCTATGGAAGTTTTGGGTAGCAAAATATTTAAAATAGTAAAATAAAGTTTGGATTATATTACGCTGCACTGCTTTATAATTTTGTCTCTCTAAAATAAAACTAAAAAGTCTTGAACTTTTTAGCATTTTAAAAGCAACTTGAAAATTAAATGATAAATAAAATACCTGTAAACTTCCGAGTAAAATTTTCAGATTTCTCTTAAAACCACCATAATTCTTATTTATTTTAAGCAATTTGAAAGCTTTTTTTTTTTTTTTGGGTTTGAAAGCAATTTTTTTTTTGAGGGGGTGCATATGAGAAGACAATAACTTGAACTTTTAATGATTTTTCTAATTTGTAGTATACAATTTTAACATTTGTTATCTGCTTAAAAGTTCATGCTGTTAATGTATTTAAAACGTATTTCTAATGATGCATGCAAATATAATATACGTCAATTTCTATTATTTTCTCTTTTATAAAATTAAAAAAATTCAATAGCAAAATATATGAATTAAAGAAACCATTTTACTAGCAATCTTTATTAAATCAGTTTCCTTTTAAGTTAAAATTAAATCATTTTCTATAATTTTCTTTCTTTCTTATTGCTTTTAATGTAAGGTTTCTGCTCCATACTTTAAGTTATATCAGTTTCTAAGTTTGTATAAAATGCTGTTGATTATTGTTGATTTTATATGTTATTGACTTTATTAAATAAATTTCTACATTCCTACTTATTTATTTTTTCCAATGTAAGGTTCCTGATGCATACTTTAAATTCTAGTAGGTGTGTGTTAATTTTGAATGAAATGCTTATGAATATTTTATTTGTAGATGAAGTGCATAATTTTTTATTTATGCATTGCACCAGTGACACTACTTCCTTTTCTCCAGTTTGTTTTGATATGGTGAGTGACATTCTATTTTCTTTCTTATAAATTTATTAATTTTCCAATCTAAATGCTTTATAAACGTCATCCTTGAATTTTTTTTTTTTTTTTTTTTTTTTTTTAGAATAAAATAATTTAGGGGAACTTTGACCATAGTTAATGTTTTTTGTTTGGCCCACCAGTGACAGAGTGATAAAAATCACTGAATGTTGGTATTTCAATCTGAGGTCAAATCCTGGTAAATAGGCTAATTGCTTGGGAGTTTTTATGGTTTTTCTCATGTGCAGCATGGATACAAGCCAGTTTTCCCTAAAAATTCCTCTACAAAGGCATCCCTTTGTATATGGTGGATATATGGTGGATACCTGTGTAAATGCTGTAATTTTTTTGCTTCTTTATTGGATGAAAAAAATTAAAACAATTTAGATTTATTGAATTATAATTATTTTTCTTTATTATATGCTTTTACTCATGAATAAATTTAAGCTTAAAGTCTAGGTGTTTCAACCCTCCTGAATCATTTTCTTTAGGTATCTGCTTGATACCTAACAAATATCATTGATTATCCTCAAATGCTGTGATACTATTAATATTAATGCATGTCACTAATTATTGATTTCAACCATAGTATATCTTGAACATCTTTTGCTAAGGTAATAATCTCAACTTCCATTGAGTATAAAGCTACACAATTTTGTTTCTACAGCACCATAGTTAAGGCCAAACATTTAACATAACTAGAAATCGGTTTTCTATCATTAGGGTGTCCCGCCTCAATCTGCATCTATGTGCATATTTATATAAGAAATCTTACACTTTGAGTACACTAATTCCACTTTAGCTGCTCCTTTAATGTTATAGTGAAGAATTCGTTTAAAGTACACCATGCAGATTCAGTAAGATTTTCATGCAGCTGGCTTACCAATTCACTGCATGTAAAATATCTGGTCTTGTCATGTAAGCTAAATACAGTAATGAAGCAATAAGTTCTCAGTAGGTTTTTCACAAGTAGAACCTTTTTTGAAATCAGTTGGCATCAATTTAGATTCCATCAGAGTAGAACACACTTTGCAGTCCAATATGTTGAATTTTTTCAACAACTGCAAGATGTAAAATTCTTGATCTGAAAATAATTTATTTTTCTTTATTTGCATTCCTAGAAATTCAGAAACTGCTCTAAATTTGTATATATTGAATTTTTTTGTTAACAACTCAATAATTACACCAAGTTTACAATTATTTGGTTCAGCAATTAGTAAGTCATCGACATAAAGAGCAATAATTACCTTTGAGCCATTCTTTGGGCGACAAAAAGTACAAGGCTCACTGTTTAATTGCTTAAAAGGAAATTTTACTGCAAAATTGCAAACTTTTTTTATACTCTCAAGATGTCTGTTTCAATCCATATAAACCTTTTTTAAGCATACATTTTCTATTACTGGGGCCATTATAACTTTTTGGTTGATCCACAAGTGAGATAAGGCACAACAACAACATATAGATGGCTTCTTTTAAATCGTTATTTAAGAATGCAGTTCTGGTATCTTAAGATTTAGAACACCTAACTTTTGTTCTTGAATAATCACCAGAATGAACTTTAAAGCAGGCATTCTAATTACAGGTGAATAAGTATTATTATAATGAATACCTTCTTGTTGCATGAAGCCATAAGCCACCAGTCATGTTTTATACTTCCTGTTTCCTTTTTTATCATAAAATAAACTTCATTCATCTTTTTTAAATGAAATTGATCTTTTTACAGGTAGTAATTCTTCAAGAACCCAAAGGTCATTGTCTTTCATTATCTGCATTTCTTTATTCACGGCCTTCTTCCACAGTGTTTGTTCCTCTTCCTGTAATAGTGATATATCTTCATAGGACAACATTTCTTGATTAGCAATTATGGCCATGTATACTTCAGGCTCAGGATATTTAATTGGTGGCTTTATGTTTCTTAACGATTGTTCATCTTCCATTCTCTCACTATGGGGCATATCCACATTGCTTATATCTTTGATCATGCCTTCCTGTTCTTCCATGTCAAAATCATTAGTTTGAGAAAAATTTAGATTCTTGGAAACTTCCATCATTGTTCAACTTTTCTTCATTAAACTTGACATTTCTTTGTACTAAAATGCAGTTTGTCACTGGATCTATCAAATGATACCCATGATAGAATATTCGAAAAATATTATTTTCTTTGACTTAGTGTCTAATTTTCTTTGATGAGAGGTAAGTATGAACATATACGCGTCACAACCAAATATGCAAATATTTTTCATATCAGGATCTTCACCGTGTTTTAAACTGGAGGTATAGTTCTCAATAGAGCTATTAGAAATTCTGTTATGAAGATAAACTGTGGTTAACGCAACAACTTCCCAATGATACTTTGGAAATTTTGATTAAAAAATCAGAGTCCACCCTTTTATTCAGCAGTCTCCAGGTAGTTCGTTCTGCAACGCAGTTTAATGATGAAGTATATAGAGGAAATAGATCAGTTATAATACCATGTTTGGAAGTAAATTCTTGTAGTTCCTTGCTTAACATTATTTGGCATTATCACTTCTAATTTTCCTTACAGAAAGACTTGATTTCAAAAAAGTTTTCATCTTGTCTACCACATAACGTTTTCTTTTCAGCAACTGAACTTCAGTAAAACGTGAGAAATTATCAGTAATGGTCTTGAAGTAATTCTCGCCAGCTTCTGTAGTTGGTGTAATTGGCTGCATGTGTGTATTGTGGCCATTGGCTTTACCTCTGTGCCTTGGCTATTTTCCCATCAGCGTAGCACTAATTTTCGCATAAGCACAAACTTTGCAGAACATTTCCAAGTTTTGAAGTCCCAATTTCTTGGGTACTGGACTTTAACAGTGAGTCAGTCTATGATGCCACAGATTGGTATCACTCTGTTTTGTTAGATCACTTCATAATCAGCACAAATATATTGGCCAAGATTATCACAATAGCCAAAACATATGTTATAGCTTTTGTTAACAATAAATACTTTGTGATCCTTAAAAATCACATCGAAACTGTTTTGCACTGAAATTAATTCACCATTCAAATCTGGCACAAAAAGAAAATTTTTTAGAGTTATTTTAACACTGCTGGTTGTTTTGCCAGAAACATGTCCCACACATTTCATGTTTAAACTAGATGAAAGGAAAACACATTTCACATTCCCTGACTTGTAAGTGAATAAAGAAAATCATTCTTTACAAGAACACATGTGAGAAGTTGCTCCAGAGTCAATAATAAAGCTTCTTGATATTAAATCATCTGCAGTAAATGAAATTACTTGTGAAGCTTGTAATTCTTCCTGTTTAGTGTTGACTTCAATTCACATATGTCTAGGTTTCTCACACTGAATTTTTTTCTAGTACTTTTCTCCTATATGCCCATTCTTTTTACAGTGAAAGCAGGTAAGTTCCTTCTGATATGTAAAAATGCAACATTATCTTTTTCTACATGCTTAGTATTGTTAACTTGTGAATCATTGTAAAGGACTTCTGTGTCTCTAAGTCACATAATAACAAAACTTCTGGCTGAGACTTCCACTTGTTTGATTTTCAAGTGAAACCTTAACACCTTCCAACTGTGGTGAATGAGTCATCAGATTATGAACTATTGTATCCACATCACTTACTTCCACACCAGATAGTCGTAAATCTACTACAGGTTTTTTCATTTTATCAAGATGCTATTTTATTAATACTTCATGACTCATCTTTATGGTTGCCAGCTGTTTTCTAGTAAGAATTTGATTCATTGCTCCTTTAGACACATGAATAGTCCAAAGCTTTTCCCACATTTGCTTTGCTGACTTTTAAAATCAACATCATTTAAAATCAACATTGGAAGTGAATAAGCTTTCTTGCCTTTAACAACTTCATAATCTTTCATTGCATCTGGTTCTTGTCCTAAAAACTGGCTCATTTCTTTGCGGCAGATAGTGCTTTCCCGTGCCAACTTTATTTAGTATGATTTGTACCATTGAACGGAGCCATAGTATTCCGGTCTTTTTCACTTGCCATTGCTCTCATAAACTGACTTTTGAGCAGTACAATTAGTTATACTGCTCAAAAGTCACCGCAATATTTGCGTATCTAATTCAAACAGCTTGCTTCTTGGAAGAACAACCATGCTATGCTGCTGTGAGATAAATAACTTCAAAGGTTCCATTTGATCAAAATATAATTTTTTTTTTTAGATATCATACAATTCAATATAAAAAGTTTGATGCAATAGAAACCACTGAGAGTTAATTATAGCTATTTAGCTTACATGCAACACACTACACAGTTCACTTAACTGCCATAGAACTAAACACTTTAAAACTCAACACTCTAGAAAATTCTAAACAAGACTAACTGCATCCTAATTTATACATGCGTAGTTCACTGAATCCACAGGCCTAAGTGTTGATTAATATCATGGACCAGGAGTTGAGCTATACATGCTTTACATGCATGTTTAAAACATGAAATCATACTATTAGCATAGAAAATATTGAGTGTGCAGTTATATCCACAACAAAAGTGATCTTTTTCTGAAATTTCGATCAGAGTAAAAGAAACAGAAACCCACTTTTAAGGAAATTTATTGCTTGATTTTTCAAGATAAATATCTTACTAAAACATACAAGTATGTGTGCAATAAATGTATCTTTCATCCTTCTTTTCTCACTCCACTCCTCTCCGATTATAATTATCACATCTTCTGTCCAATAAGTTTGCCAAAATTGGTAAACTACTAAGGCAGTACATTAGTATTTTTATATCCACAAGCAATGCTGCGCTAAGAGCCCTTGGTTTGCATTTGTAATTTTTTGATGAAATTTAAAATCTTGTTTTTATTTGAGAGTGAGTCTAAACTATACATGCTGTAATAGTATAAGACATGTTATTTTATGAATTTATTAAAAATTTCATTAGGATTACATGTAGATTTCACATCCTTTGATGTGGAGGGAATAATAAAAAAAAGTATACTTTTTTTTTTTACATTGTAATCACGTGTAGATTTCACATCCTTTGATTAGGAGGGAATAATAATAATAATAAAAAAAGAGTATAATGATTTTTTACTTATTTAGTATATTTTTTTTAATTGAACCACGGGCACTTGCCTTTTCAGCACTGGCCACTCTTAAGGCTGGAATTGGTGGTCATTTTATTGTGAGGCCGCCTAATAGGTAGCCACCGTTACCTATTATGAGGAGACAGACAATTTAAATCCATGCCTTCTCTGGGATTCGAACCTGGGCCCTTTGGTATCACAGTGGGGTTCACTAACCACTATACCATCTGGGCAGCTTCTTCATTATAATGTAAAAGTATAATGCTTTAAGTATAATCCTAGTAAAAGTATAATGCATTTTTAATTCTTCAGCAGTGCAAGTTAACAGTGATGTGGTATGTTGTATGAATAATTGCATGGAAATTTATACTTCTTAATTGTAAGGATCACCATGTGCTGTATTGTTAAGAAGACATTTTATATTCAGAAATAAAAAATTTCTCTTCGCTTTCTAACTTTTCATGCACTTTAAAATAAAATTCCAATTATTTTCTGACTTTTCCTATCATTCTTATTGGAAAATGCAAGTTCTTAAAATATTTTTGAGTAATTATATTTATTTCCTTCATTAGTATTAGAAGCACTGTACACTGTTACTAGACAGTGTCTAGAAGTATGAGTATTTGTTGTAATGTGAATTAATTGTTTTAGAGTATAAAATATTTCTTAAATTTGAATTTTGTTTGTATGCAATTACTATATATTGTATCTGTGTGGAAAAATTTAAACTAAATTAACACTTTTTATGAATTTATCCTGTCATTTTTAATTATTTCAGAGAAGTGTAACTCCCTTTTCTACTGGAGCTTTTGAACTTAGTTTGCTTAATTCTTCAAGATTAGAAAGATCCCATTCAACTGAAAGTTTTGGAGACTTTAATTGCCATATATTATCAACAGAATTTGACAATTCCAGAATTAAGTTCGAAGAAGAGTTATCTGGACTACGGTATATAAATTTAGTCTTATACAAAAGCTCCTACTTTGTTAAAATTTCTGTATATGAAAATATTTATTTATACCTAGATTATATTCATGGTTCATGAAAATTAAAGGATACTGACAGAAATAAAACTTAACCTATACGTAGTAAACACATGGTTACAAACAGTTTGCATAAAAGCACTATTTAATGTAAATTATGATGCTTTCCAGTTACTTAATTTGAAAATATTGGATTTAATGTCAGATTTACAGAAATTGAAAAATCATGAAAAAATTCTTCACCCTGTTTTGCAACAATATTTTCCTTAATATGGTGTACGTTCACCTCTGATAGAAAATCTCGCATCTTGATGTCATAAAATTTACAAAACTGATGATCAACTTTATGAAGTTGCATGTCACACATCTGAAAGTGCATTTTTCAGATTCTGGAGGGTTTGGGCAGGCACTTGGTATGCTACGATAATAAAAAAAAAGTATAATGATTTTTTACTTATTTAGAATATTTTTTAAAATTGAACCATGGGCACTTGCCTTTTCAGCAGTGGCCACTTCTAAGGCTGGAATTGGTGGCCATTTTATTGTGGGGCCACCTAATAGGTAGCCACCGTTACCTACTATGAGGAGACAGACAATTTAAATCCATGCCTTCTCCGGGATTCGAACCTGGGCCCTTTGGTATCGCAGTGGGGTTCACTAACCACTATACCATCTGGGCAGCTTCTTCAGTATAATGTAAAAGTATAATTGCATTTTTTATTCTTCAGCAGTGCAAGTTAACAGTGATGTGGTATGTTGTATGAATAATTGTATGGAAATTTATACTTCTTAATTGTAAAGCATTCCACACATGTTTAATTAGGTTCAAATCTGGCAAAAAAATTAGCTAAGCTCTTCAAGTGATATTTTTTGTAAGTATTTTGATACTAGAAATGCTCAATGCTGACAAGCACTGTCATCCATTAGCAAAACATCTAGGCCAGCAATCTAAATAAGCTTATGTGGTTCCAAGATCTCGTACTCATGTCTGTGACTGGTTGCAAAACCTCTATCAATGATATGCAGCTTGATGCTGCTCTTTTGATGATTCTATCCCAAATCACAAAACCACTTCAATAGAAAGAGGAGCTTTGATGAACAAAGGAGGCTAATTTTCATGTTTCTTGCTTCCTCCAGATTAAAACTCGCCTAGAATCACAATTAAGTCCATATCTGGTCTTATCCATATCTGGTAACACAGTCACCATTCCTCTTGGGCTCCATTGAACATGGTAGCACCATTACTTAAATGGATTTCTTTAGAAGATAAAGTGGATGGGACACAAATTTTTAGTCCAAAGGGGCTTTGTCCCTGAAGGACTATTGTTTCCGTTTTGCGATCAAATCACTCTGAATGTCTGTTTTGCTTTTCAAACTGTTGCCACCAAATATTCTCACCCTGTATTATATTTGAAGAAATTAAATAATGAAGAATTTGCATAAATTTATGTTTTTCACATTATGATAAAACAACGGTACCTAGAGCCATTAAATTTTGAATGACATAATCCTACTGCGAATATGGACATCTGGGAGCCCAAATTTCGAATTTGTTTTATTATCAATTTCATATTTTGTAAAACTTTAATGAATTTTTTATAAGAATTTCAAAGCAAGAAATGGCAACGTTGTACAGGAAAAACATTTTTATCTCTAGCGCGTGAGACTGTGTATCGGAAATTCTAAAGATATGCTCAATTTAAAATTATTTTGCAATATTGCTGTTGAACTGAATTTTATTATTTAAGTGCCAAGAACATGATATTTAATAAATAAAGGTACGCAAAATGTTAAATAAACATCCCTTTGGACGTAATCTGATACTTGTCAGTTCTTTTTTGTGCATATGTGTGTGTGTGCATAAATTCCTATGTGGTGAAGCCTCTGTGCAGCCGTAGAATGGCTGATTTTTGTTCTTATGGCAGTGTGAAGACCTTAAGATAATTCTATTGTAATCGTTTCATGGTTTTTTTAAGCAGAAAGTGATAGAAAATGGTTTTCGTATATAATTATTACCGTTTGTTCCCCATGAATATATGATTTTTGTATCAGTCTGTTCCTGCTGGTTCACTTTTTTGAAAAGTGAACTGCAGCCCAATAGTATGAATCTTAGGAATCACATTAATTCGAAACAATACTGCATTCTCGAATTCTAATGTGTATCTACACAACACATTGTCAGTTATCAGATTTGCATATTTCATTGAGCTAACCTTTATGTAGAAGTTCAGTTTTGTGTTCAATGCAGATAATTAACTTAAATGGTTACATAAGTGGATGTGGATGGAAAACTATCAATGAGCATATTTTTTTTTAGTTCTCTAATTTTGGTAATCACTGTCTTTTATTTTTGAAAACAGTGATGAATGAATATTTATATTCTCAAAATGATTTTTTTTCTTTTTTGTCTTTCACCAAAAGGAAGACATTTCTGAATCTCATGAAAGAATTAAAGTACTTAGAGGTAAAAAATGTTTGAATAGTCTTTTTTTTTTTTTTTCTTTTAAAGAAATTAAAGAAACATTAATAAGCATAAAATATGATAATTTGATAAGAAAAATAATCTAAATAATGTCTCTGTTAAAATTTTCATTAGTGGAAGCAAGTAATTTTATGCGAGGTTATTCAAAAATATCTGGCAGAAATTGTAGAAGGGACAAATAAACAGATTTTATAATGGATTCCATATGCTAAAATGGGTTATTGAGGTGGAACAGAGAGGTGTTGAAGAGCAGTAAAAGCATTTTGCTGACATAAATTGTTATTCCATTTGCAGATTTTAAGCAGTATGTATAGTATAATATATTAAATTGAAAAATTTTGTGCAGTTGTTATCTAACTAGTACTGGAATATGTAACATGCTTGCATTTGTGCAGGTATTTAATATTGTATGGTTATTCCATACTGTTCCATAATGCATATAATTCTAGATTGAATTTAACTACAAATTTAACAGGAAAAAAAAAAAAAAATGTCCAGAAAACATGTCTACCAGTACATGCCCATATAATCATATTGTCTTAGGTCTAGTGAGCATTCAGATGCAACTGACAAATTGTTTGCATAGCGTTTTATTTAGCATGAGCATTATGTGGGAAGATACTATCTTACTAAAATAACATATTTTCAACTGAGTGCAGAAAATATAATGGTCTGTTAATGGTGTTCTTGCATATTTTAGAGTATTCATCAAGCTTTGGGACTCCCAGACTTCATTATGAACGATGTTTATGGCATCATGTATGAGAAAAATCCTGGAATAGGTCTTATTATACTGGTCATAAAATTAAAGGATAATGAGAAAAAACGCGTGTTCGGTTTAATATAACGCCCTCTAAGATTAGTGCCGTCTTGTGAAAGGAGCCAAATTTAGTTGGTTGTTGAAGAATGTACGCGGCGGACCTATGGTGCGTTCGCTCGTTCCACTTTGTCTGTGCTAATGGAGCACTTAACTTGTAACTTTGTACATTATGTAAACAATTAAATATTTGTGTGGCCTAACTTAGTTAGTTTTATTTTGGAACCAGCGCCATTATCTCTCGTAACTCATCGCATTTTATAGCAACCAAAATTTATGGTCCGTAGAGCCGGAGATTGTTTTGTTTTTGTTAACTAAGTTTGTATTAGTATAAAATGGCAACTATAGTTGCTTTAAATCGAAAGAAAGGCTCACTAAAAGCCCAGCTAACTAGAATAGAGACTGTCATAGCGGATACCAGCACATGGACTAAAATCAAAATAGATGCCAAGCTCAAGGCCTTAGAAAAGATGTCTGTTGCATTGGATACACTTCGATCGGAATATTATATTGCTGTGCCTGAAAAGGATGATACTTCTGAAATAGAAAAGGAATTATTAGATCTAGAAGTAAGAATCGACGATCTAGAGGTAAGTTTCAATCAAATGTTAATTGATAATGTTGCTAGTATTAATAAAGTTGATATCGCAAAGAGTAGTTGTAAAATAAAGTTACCTGAAATTCCACTTCCGCAATTTAGCGGAAAGTATGAAGAATGGAGCATGTTTAAAATTGAATTTAATAATATTGTTACCTCGAATACTCAATTAACAGATGCACCAAAGCTACATTATCTGCATGCCGCTCTCAAGGGAGAAGCAAAATTGTTACAAACTCAGGAAGATACTTTTCAATCATTATTTAGGGCTTTAGAAAATCGCTTCGAAAACAAGAGAATTCTTGTTAATATTCACATTAAAGCTATTTTAGAATTCGAAAAAATTATTCATGAATCATCGAAAGAGTTAAGGCGTCTAGTAGATGCTGTGAGCAAAAACATTAGAGCTTTAACCATTTCCCTTACAAATTGATTTGAAAAAAATTGCAAAAAATCATCACATTTTTTAATTTTATTATTAAATACAACAAAATGAAACAAATCAAAATATGTAGGTTTTAAATTGAATTTTTAATTTTTTGAAGGTGTAAAAGCATTTATTTTTAATATTAGTTTACTATCCTGAGTTATCTCGGGCAACCAAAAAAAACGTTAAATATTAATCTTTGTATGATAGTTTTTGAAACAAGGGACAACACAGAGTGATACCTGACGTTCTACACTGGTATCTGGTCTCTTTTCTCTTACTGGCTTACCTGGCCACTCTCTTACTGGAATCTTTTTCACGGGAGCACAGAGTACACTGTCTCGTAGGATTTGATTTTTATTTTTTTCCCCAACCTTTTCATAATCTCTATCTGAAAAATCATCGCTTTCACTATCTTCCATCATCGCCATTATTTTATTTTTTTCCAACGCATAGATCCTTCTTTATACATTACTAATACACAAGCCAACGTATACTATACAATAGGGAAACACGCGATCAGTCCCTCCAAAAGAGCCGCGCAACCAACAAAATTTGGCAAACTGCCAATTAAAGCTGAATATTTCCTTTCATTTCCTCCAGACCGAGTAAAACCGTGATAAAAGAAATCGTACTAACAG